TGCACCAAACAAAAAACAGCAAAAGAATTTTTTTTACTGCGAAATGTACAGTATGTAAATGTACAGTATCGGAAATTGTTTGATCGATACTTTACGAGAAATCTATGCGTGCAGCCATCTACCGAAAAAATAATGGATTTCTTTTTCCCCAAACTAATAGAAAGCCAACATAAAAGATGCCAATTCCCAGAAACTTTTCAACCCTATTCGTCTTTTCATCAAAGGATGAATAGCGGGCAAAGAGTAATTCTTAATATTTATAATTGACATGGAAAATTATCGAAGTGACTTTATATGTATGAGCAAAGAAATAATTATATATTGTTGTTTTAACTAATGGTAAATCGCTTGCAATTTTCCTTTACCGAGTTTTATAATTCATTATTTACATTCTTTCATATACTCATGTTTTTGTTTTCATACTGTACGTAACACTCCAAAGGAAGCTTCAGAGAATCTATAAAGTATATATATTCTTGATCAGCGTGAAATTCTGAATTAATTAAGCTATGTCTGTGTGTCCGTGCAGCGTTGTCCTGGTGGCAAAAATTAAAACGTCAATTTAAAATTTGGTAGAAACATTGGAAATTTTTGCGCGCAGGTTGGCATGGGAAATGCGCCAACTTGGTCAGAGCAGAAGCCCGCAATGGAACATAACTGAACGCAACTCCGTCTCTCTACACCAGACACCACTAATGTAACATATATTATTGAATAGCAACTTTAATATTCTTAATTTTTCTAAAACCTTTTTTCGAACCAATGAACTTGATTAGAAGAAAGTGCTCTTAATTGCTGTATTTAAAAAAACCATGCATGTGCTTGAATAAGTATAAGTAGCCTATTCAGCACACCCAGACAATATTGCCAGTAGACGTTCAGACTTCGTTTATTATCTCTGGAAAAGAGGCCGGGGAAGAATTACGTAGTAAAGTTTAATAATATTTGATTTTGTTTTCAGCTTTTTAGCGCAGCAACCTCAATTAACAAGATTAGCTGCTAAGATTATTTCATTTAAGAATAAATTGTCGATTTTATGGGCGTATGTGTGGAAATTAACAAAAATAAATCTCATAAAGTTTTTAAGCACAAAATAATGTTTTAAAAACTACTCTCATTGATAATCACTTAATCGAATTACTAAGGAAAAATTGTTTTTGTATATTGACACTATTTATTTGTGTTTGCGTGAACACTATGTACGAAATATAAACTTTGCAAAATGCCAGTTTTTGCCCTTATATAAACATGACCATATGCTGCTAAAAGTAGCGGAGTACGTTAATTTATGCAGTGCCGAGTATTGAAAATATGTCAAAGCTTTTATAGTTTTTATTCCAATATAACGAGAGCCGAGATAGAGCGCCGTATTTGGAAATCTTGTACTCTTTTTTGCATTTTTTTGAAGATATTAAAGAAAAACCGATGGTACGGCTTGCAAAACTTTAATGACACGAACTCCCTGTCGATCAAAGAACATACTTTATTCTGTAGTTTTTTGTGATTTTATTGAATATAGAAAACTTTAAAATAATGTTTAATAAAATAATAAGACGTGCAAGTCATATATAGCTTTAATAAACGGTCGATCTTTGTAACTAAATTTATGCCATTTATTAAGTGTGACTGCCGATTGACTAAAATTAAGATTAAAATATTCAACATACACATTATCTGCAAGAAAATAGTTGGATCGGAAAATTGAATAAATTGTGACATTTTATATAAAAATATTTCAAAATCCCTATAGAAGTAGATAGATATAACACATTCAAAGAAGAGAACAGAATAAAAAATGGTAAAATAATAATGTATATTTTCCATACCAAGATGAATATTAATTATGTTCTTTTTAATTTTTTTGATTTTTTAAACCTTTGCATTTTTTTAAATTTTTATTTTTTAACATTTTTATGTCTTCTTCTTCATGCTTCTTAAAATTGATTTTTATGTCTCAAATAAGATACGATTAATTTGCTTCACGCTCTTAACAATAGTTAGCATATCTCTTCTGTCGTAGAGCTGTATTGAAAAGTTGAAAAAATCGTAAAAAAAGATCTTTGTGTTTTCACGATTTTATACATTTATTTATTGTTTTATTCTTACTCCTCAATGCGATAAATCAGAAAGAAATTCTCAACATCTTTTTCAGCAGCTGGTATTGCTTCCGAAGCTTTTCTAGATAACGGTTCAAGGCCCATTAGCAAAAAGCTCTCCAAGAGACGTACACGGTCCGAACGATTTTTGCGTATGCACATAACTACGGCATCAACCTCCAGTTTATCTTCCGCAAATTCCAGCAAACAAATTAGTGTCTCTTTGGAGGCTTCGGGCGCTAATTTTTCGGGCAACGCTACATACAAAATATTATTGACAGGATTTAGAACAGATTCCCATTTGGTGAATTTATTCTCAGTCACGTGTAGCTTGATGACAATGCGTATTGGATGTTCATGTTGTAAGATTTGCTTGACCACCTCTCGGTAATCATCGTCCGAGTACAACGATTGCAAATCACCGTCAGAGCAGTCTGAAGAAGCCGCAGAATTTGCGCCGGAGCCACCATTGCTGCCGCCGTTTTTATTTCTGTCAAACAGACCGCTGCCACCAGCCGAACCAACAGAAGATTTTCGAGTGTAACCTTTTCAATTATTTGGAAGGTTAAAAATATATCGCACTTTAATGTTCATTTCAAAATTTACCTGTTAAGAGCGACGCCCTATCGTGATCTGTTCTGTGATGGGTAGGGACATCAGGACCACCACAGAGGCCCTACGCCGAGAGAAATACAATAGGACTCAGACGACATGTTAGTAGCACAAGAAGAGGTAGAAATAGTCCGCAACTTGTTTTCGGAATTCGTGCGGAGTACTGAATCTCCAAACTCTCCTCTAACACTATCACTACTAAACATTGGATCGCTAGAAGTAGGAAAAATTATTAAAAGCAGGAAATGTACAAATTTTTGAAGCAAAATTAAAATTAAAAAAAGAATTTCAATTTTTCTTTTTAATACGAATATAAACATTACGTAATCTAAACACCATATACATCTACATCTTAGAAGCGCTTTTAATTAATGAAAATCACCCGAATTGTGAAAATTTCATATAAATGCAACTCTAGTCTACTGGCTTGCTTAAAGCGTAGTCAATCTTATTCAGCAAAACAACATGGTGGTTTATGTATCAGCCGAATGTCAATGAATGGGAGAAAAGCAAAAAAAAAAAACGCAAGATAGAAAAAAGTTGTAAACTAAGGAATTTTTATGTAAATAAGTTCGTTATAACAAATAGTAATAAAAACTATAAGAATGTCTATTGGTGTACCGATCAAAGTTTTACACGAGGCCGAAGGCCACATTATTACATGTGAAACAATAACCGGTGAAGTGTATAGAGGTAAACTGATCGAAGCTGAGGATAACATGAACTGCCAGATGACACAAATTACGGTGACTTATCGTGATGGCCGTACAGCCAATTTAGAAAATGTGTATATAAGAGGCTCAAAAATACGCTTCCTTATACTGCCAGATATGTTGAAAAATGCTCCTATGTTTAAAAAGCAAACAGGCAAGGGCCTAGGTGGTGCCGCTGGCAGAGGCAAAGCTGCCATATTAAGAGCGCAAGGTAATTGTGAAATGTTAATATTTACTCCTTTAAGCATTCATTAGTATTTGACTTCTCTCCAAAGCTCGCGGACGTGGTCGAGGTGGTCCGACTAGTGGTGGCCGCGGTGTCCTTCCCGGGGCTCCAAGCGGTGGCCGTGGGGCTTGGCAGGGTGGTCCTACAGGTGGACGTGGTCGTGGTGGTTTATAAAAAAAAGTCTTATCAATTGTAGGTCGGAGTACTTTTCTATCTTCTTTCCAAGATTTGAAAGTAATTTAAATTTATTTTCCTTCTGAATTATTTCAATAAACGAATATGACGAAAATTATAAAAGCATTGTTTATTAAGTTTGAAATATGTAAAACCCTTCACCGTGTGCTTATAAATACGGACAATATAACATTGAGATGTTAGATCGTCGCTTATCGAATACTATACAAAGAGAGCAATTCCATGACAGTTGTATGATGTAGTGGAACAGGTTTTAACCAGACTGTCGACAGATAGCTCTCTTTATTTGGTTACTCGAGTTTGGTAAAGCATAAAAGCCTTGTAAAAACCTGTTGATTAATGTGACGGTTGGAATAAACAACGGGACAAGCTGTTAAACAAGCAAACACAGACTATCCAATAGTTAGAAAAAGAGATGTTCACAATTAGTTAGTTTACGAATGAAGAACAAAAAGTTTACGTGACGATAATCGAATATCATACAAAGAGAGCAATTCCATGACAGTATTAATATATCTGAACTGGACTGTCGACGGACAGCTCTCTTTATTTACTTATTCGCTAGGCATATACTAGAATTATTTATAAGCAAACAATCAAATAAGTGTATATATACAATTCAAATATTCTCATTTTTAATACAAAGGGAACAATATATAAGAAGCGACAAAGTATAAAACAAACGCAATTAACCAAATTTAGAAATTCTTCTGATAATGTGTAAAAACGGCTTTTTGTAACGTCATAGGCGGTGGAAAGAACAGAAAAATGCGCACAACTTGCACAACAAACGAAAATTAACTGATACTGAAACACGCCTAAGCAGACACAATTTTTATAAAAAAAAAATTCTTTCTTACAATCTCTTTAAGAGTGCTTGTGGAGGATAATATTTATACCCTTAACCTTATGGGGTATTTTAAATTAAATTCAGAGAGCTTAAAAGCAACCCATCTTTTATTACACCGAACCATTTAGACTTGTTTCACTATTTAAGCTTGCCTGTGTAAATGTTCTTGCGGTAAATTCACGCAGCCAATTCTTGAGATAATTTGATGAAATTTTTTAGACCAGTTTGTTTTGACGCAAAAACGCGGCGTATTGAAAAATGAACGCTTTCAACCATTTTTGCAACTACTAAATCGGCGTGAACAACCCTTTGGTGGATGCAAGTGATGGAAATTCGCAACAGCAAGATGAGCGCACAAAGGTATTTCCATGCACGTGGGAAGGAAGTAAAAAGGAAGTTTCTTTTTCTAAATGAAATATTCGTGGACATTTAAACGCAGTTTATGTATATATAAAATAAATGAATAAATGTATGTATATATATAAAATAAATAAATGTACATACATATAGTAAGTATTGTGCCCATTGCTGAAGTTCGATGAGCATAAATTTAGGAAAAGAAGAGTATAGTGACACATTTTCGACAATGGATAATGGAATGGTAATTATAAAGAATAACTTGTAAACTCATATTACTATGCATTTAAAGAAGGAAATAAAAGAAAACTAAGTTTGTCATGGAGCGAAACTCGTCTTCTCAACTCACTGAAAATTCTTTTTTTAATCGCGGGCGCGTAAGTTACCGGATTGGTTTCACCCGTGCAGAGACTTTTTATGTGAAATGGCTTTTGGAACATTCGTAAAAATTTATAAATCAATAAATTAGTTAATAATAGTTTTCTGTCGCTTTGCTTGTGGTTTTTTTCAAATTTAGTTATTGGGCATGGCAAATAGATGCATATAATAAGCTTAAACTTTCTATTTGTACTTTTTACTGTTTGATTCTTGAGAAGAGAAAATTTGACCATAATATGCTTCAATTCATCTATCACACAATTAGATTAAAATTTAACTAAAATCCATCACTTATTGGCAAAGACTGCTATGAAAATAGTGTTAATTACGTGAAATACGCCTTCTTTTCTTAAACATTAAATTCTTATTGTCCATTTCTTCTTGTTATGTCTAAGGGTTGCGTTATGCGTTCTTGGTGGTGCACCGACTTGATGAAAACAAGAAAGGAAAAAACTAAAGTATGTTATTTAACATATATATAGTTTAAAATAATATTTTACCCTTTTTTCTTCTTTTGCTTTGAAAAATCAATTTTAAAGAAGTTTCACTCATTTTGCACTTCTTAATTTACATTTATTTAAGCAAACGCCAACGTTTACTTTAGCAACGCACCCAAGCTACGCGTTCGGCATTTCAAACCAATAATCCAAAGATCGAGATGCCACCGAACCGAAACATTTTTTATGATACACGGAGCTTTATTTTGGAAGACTTTAAATCTAAATCCGAATACTCAATCAGGCAACAGTTTTTCATAAACCTAAAGCTTTAACGGAATCATGGCCGTTTATTTTAAGTTATTATGTCTAGACATACGTCATTCCATGTTATCACAGATAGCCGTCGCAGCAAACATTGTGTTTTAAATACAAGAAACTTCCAGAAAATTACAAATGCAATTTTTTTTTTTCGTGTAGTTACGACAATAGAAAATTTACAAAAATAGTTACAGGTTAACTAAATTTGATCGTAAATAATCTGTATTTATTTTGTTTCCCCGTAGTCTTTCAATTTCTTAAAGTAACGCTTTGTTGACTTGTTAACACGGCGTACGAATTTTTTAAAAAAATTTTTAATTCTCTAGTCGGAGGACCACAGTGGCAATTATCTATAATATTTACATAGCATGCCTGCGGATAAAAAGCTGTTAATGCGGCAGAGTGCGCAGTGATTTCATGTCTAACTCTTGAAAGCATTGTAGTAACAAGAAAGTATTAGATAGGCGGGAAAGTTCCGTCATATTTTAAATAAGAGATTTCAATTTGAAGATGTTTGACGTATTCCTCAACAACCGAATGGTAGATGCAGAGTTCCTTTGTAATTATGGATACACGATCATTTTGTAGAATTAAGTCGTTCGCTTCCACACTTGTTATGTAAGTTACTACAAGCATATCCCATACGTCAGGTAAATTATAACAAGACTCTGTATCAAGCATTCTTCTTGTTTCTCTTAATCCGAAAAGTAAAATACGGCGAAATTTTCCTGCTTACCTATTAGAAAACCATTATAAAATTTGAACGAAAAGCACGTCATTTTAATTTTCATAAAACAATTATCAGCGAATACTATAAAAAAGTTGCTTACAATAAGCTCCTAGATAGTTCAGTAAAAACACTATGTACGCATTTTGTAAGCATTTTATGTAAACCATTTATAAATAAAAATATTTACAACAAAAGATGCGCATTTGGCGACAAAACGCTGCTGTGCAGTTTAAATTTCAAAATGTATATTTGGCATACATATTTGGATAACAATATAATCGATTCGATATTTCCTGACATCTATGCTAATTTGTCTAGGACTACTCTTACATTTTATTAAAGAAGTTTCCTCAATCTACCAATTCGGGGTTTACGAATAAACCAATCCAAAGGATTGATCATTGCTTTTGATGCGTATGTGTCAATTTGTGTGCGCTGAACCTTATAAAAAACAAGATGACTGACACCTTGCGCCTTTAAGATTGCTTTCTAATGGCACTGTAAAAGTATGGAATTCTTTACCTGCGAAAATTAAACCAATTGTTAACAGGCACAGGTTTGGTACCAAAGTTACGCCGTTTTGTGACACTTATATCATGGCATGAATACTATTTCACCTTTCCATGATATTATCAATGAGATATTGTACAACCTGCAACAGATTCTGATATGATTGTAATCTGGTTTCTATTTTTTGCTAGGCATTGTTTTATAACAATATAGTGTACTTAATCCTTTCTATAAAGGTAGACTGTTGGTGATCGTTACGTCCTAGAATACTAGTTATCATGTTATAGTTTATAATTGCTTATACATTACGCACTGAAGAAATATTGTAGTCTTATTAGTACTTGTAATTATTTGCGACTCATTTTTATTAACCCCAATTTACCTATAAGTTAGAATTAGTTCAGTCTTATGTAACGTAAATGAACAAACTAAAAAAAGGGTTTAATGCTATAAAAAAAATCACTGTTTTTTTGTTGGTTTTCAGTGAAATCATTGTCTTTAATTTTTGAACTTATCCTGATAATGATGAAAAGAGAACTTCATTTGTGACGAAAGCTCATTGTTAAACTCACTCATACCTTTGCGATGATTAAAAATATTCACCCACCACTAGGCTTTCGATACGTTGTAAGGTCTGCGATATGTCTCCTAAAGGGGGAAAAAAGGGTAAAACTAGCGAAACCGTACAATCGACAAACGAGGAAACAATTATCCCTACAGTATGTGTCAGTCTATTCCAAATGGGTAAAAAACCCACTTCTCTAAATTAAAAAGAAAAGTGATAAATTGAAACAACTATTTTCATTTCTTCATTTATTTCTTGCTTATTTTACAATTTAACGTCAACGTTTGATTGGTGAAACTAAAAAGAAAACGTGCGTTTACAATAAAATCAATTGAAATAAAAATTAATAAATTCTATGAGAGTCTAATCATTGCAAAGGTTTTGCTTTTTATATCTTTATGAAAATTGCTAAAAGAAAGATGGAGACATTGTTTGATTAAATTTTATTAATAGACATAGGTAAGCAGATTTAATTAAAGTGCTTATGTTTCCAAGGTATTCTGTTCATAGTCTTCATTATCCCACTTGCATTGTTGAACTATAAAATAAAATCTTCAGAAACTACAAAGGTCTCATTAAAAATTGACAAAATAAAAAAACAAAACAAATAACACATTTAAACTTTTTTTAATATTCAAAACACATCGAAAAAACATAAAAAAATAAATAAGGCTGAAGCAATTTTCGAACTGCGCTTGCAGATGGTTCTAACGAATCTCTAGGTAACAACTTTCGCCACGGGATCATAGCGATCGAAGTAAGTAATATGTTATATTTTAGCTTCCTCTTTCTGTATTTGCGGATGTGTAGATTCCCGAAAGGTGGTAAAATTTACTCCATTTGATAGAAAGATGTATAAATAAGATGTGAGTAGCTTTGGTAAGTAATGATTTGAGATTCCATATTCACATAACATACAGGCAGAAGCAAATGATTAATTCGGAATCCATTAATGCTAAACGAAAGTACATATAAACAGTCTTGCTATTGCTTTTGCAATTTCTTATCAGAATGGTTCATTTTATGATAGAAACAATTACATTTGCTCATTCACGTCACAAAATTTTTATATACACTATGCGGGCTCCAATTAGAAAGATAAGATAATTTTAATTTAAACTTTTATTACAAAATGATAACAGCGTTATATTCTGGAGAAAATACGTTCTGAAGGCAAATATTATAATCTTTGAATAAAAAGATATTATCGCATTCATAAATTTCAATAAAGTTAATAACTTGGAACACACTGTTATTGTTTGAATAAGAAATGTAACGCTTAAAATTTTCCACTGCAAAGATAAAACAAAGTCAAAAAGATAAAAAATCATGGGAAGGGAGTCGACCCACAAAGAGTTATCGATAAGCGATACTAAGAAGCAAAAATTGGTGTTTCTAAACAATTGCTTTAACCAAAGCTTCTTTAGAAATTTTATAGTACAATTAATGTTCCCTACATTAGTGGCACCTATGTATTTACGAAAATGTAATGTCCTCTTAGTGCTATTATCGAGATGTGTGCATATAGATGAACTATTAAATTGTATCGTGTTGTTATGTTTATTGTTTACAACATTGTGCGCTTTTGTTTACTATAATTCTAAATTTTATCTAAAGCCTTAACAGCAGAGCAGCGATAACAGACATATGTTTGTTGCCTTTCGGTAAATAATTTTTACATAGCAAGCAGCCCCTAAGTTTTATTGACCAAGGGGTAAAATAATATCACCTTGTGCTTTTTTTCTTGCGTAAAAAACAGTTTATTGGTTTAATCTTTTCCTAAAATAAGCAAAAGTTTACAAATAGAGAAGGATAGAAGGATGAATTTTTCAAAGATATTCGTAGAACCCTGTTATATGTGTTTTGCGTACAGTGTCAGTCTTGGCCAATAAAAGCAGCAATTGGAACAAGTGGAAGAACGCAGCTGAAAATACATTGGAATGGACCAAAACTAACAAAATTTACGAATTGAACACTTTCCTACGAAAGTTGAAAGAATGTGTAAAACATAATTGGAATTGAACCAATTGAGTATTCTCAGAGAAAAGGGACGTTAATATGACAAATAGGTCCAATTTTTACTATTTCGCTAGCCGAACTGTTCCAAAAACTGTAACTTAAAATTAAAATCCAAAACGATGGATTTTCGAGGCTTTCTTCGAAGTAAAGCTTGTCGATTTGTTATTTTATTGTCTCGTGTATTATATTCTTACTGTTATTTCCACATGAAAAACGTTTTCAAATAGGTATTTTACATATAAATTTGTAGATAGCATATGAAAACTCTAATGTGAATTGATGAGAATCGATGACTAGTTACCCATACACGGCAAATAGGAAGACCAAAAGAATTCGACTAAGTATCTTACACTTATGGTGAATACGTGCATATTTCATTTGATTGTTTCCTGGAGATTTGAAATATTCTATACCTTAATCATCGTCAGCAATATTTTTTTTTTTTTTTGGTATGTTGAACAGAGATGGATCGTCAGCAATACTATCAAAAATGCGCAGAAATTTTAGCAAATAAAATGTATTGAATCGCTTCAATTACATGGAAGTGTAATAACTTGGTGGTTTACGTAAACATACTCAACGTATCACACTAAAAAATGCTCATTTTCTATGTATTTGATGTTTTGTAAAAAATTCTATTCAACACCTTTCCCACACAAATAATGTCCAGCATGATCTTATTGTGTTTGATTAAATAAACTCTATATGCAAAGCTTGAAAAATATTGTAATTATAAAACGAAAACAAAGGGAAAATGGAGAAAATAGGAGAAGAGAGTTGCCTTCCCACTTAACGAATATATTTTCGCATGAGTAACGCGACTAAACTACATATATGTAAAACGGTTGGAATGGAAAATTACCTAAAAAACAAGGGAGAAAAAAGCTAATGCGCAACATTAACGTAAAAAAGCAAATATTAAATACCAAAACATAAGTAGTTAGGAGAAAGCAAAGTCATTATTGGTGACAATTTATACGGCAAAAATATAAGTTCCTTTGTTTTGCTGATTTCGCATTCAATTTCCTTCTATTCTATTTTACTTACAACACGTTATATGATCGAAATGTAGCTTATGATCTCAAGTTTTTTTGTACACTGTGCAATTGACAATTAGAACAGGGGAAATGAATTTCCAAATTTTTTTTGTTATTCATTTACGCTAAATAATGAAATATATCATCGTACGTTGGTAAATTAAGTAGTCACATCCACAACCAATATTAAATGCACTCCTACTTATAATAACTACAAACCATTTTCTGTTTTCTTAAAAAATGTTATTCGCAAATAAGCAAATTTTTAATTTTTAATAGTTGGCCATCAATTTCATTCTATTAGAAAAGTAACTCCGACTCGACATTGCTGTACATTTCTCTTGTGATAACAATTAACAATATCAAAAAAATCACTCGCGCTGCAGAATGTTTTCTCACATTTTTTAGCTTAGCTAAAACAAAAATTACTTACAGTTTATTATTCATTGTTGATGGCATTTTTATACGTAATGATTGCAATTACACAGATTTCCAATAAAAACCAACTACTGTCTGTTCGATTGTAACTGATAATTGTCAAAGAACACTTTCTTGAGTTAATTTTTTTTGCCAAGTTCTCGTTTATATATTGCTTCTCTAAAGTTAGTGACCACTAGGAAACTGACAAAGAATTAAGGTATTTTCATCGAATTTATTAGAAAAATCGTTAAAGATATTATTTCTACTTTCGTTAAGTTTTCTTCTTTTCTTATATTCCATTGGAATTTTATAGAGCTGCCATCGCTGTAAAAGAAGTAGAAATAAAACTGCCAAGTGGCACAACAGAACTAGTAAATATGTTTCATATGAACGAATACAAGACAAAATTATATATCATCTACATTTTAATTCTAGAATTTATTTCTTTAGTGAATACAAATTATAATAAAGATAATTAAAATTATATTAAAATTTTTCGGATGTTTGTAACCGACAGAACAACGTAAGCTGGACGTTTTTGTGCCCAACGATTCAGAACTAATCGACAGCACGCAATTTTTGAAGCGTTTTGAAATAATTTGTTATAATGATGCGTTCGTAATATGACGTTGGAGGAGGTTGGTACGAGATCTAAGAGTATCAATTGTGCACTAAGTAGGTTTATTATTTGGACTCCATTTTATATAAAAGTTCCCATGAACAGCTAGTGGTAAGACGGCAAAAATTAATTTGTAATATTTTATAATAAAATTGCTTCGTAATATCAATTTGAAATAAAGTTAACCGCATATATTTGTATTTATGTATATAATAAAAAAAACTTTTTCTTCATGAAACCATTTACAATCATTGTGATAAGAAAAATGTCAATGTGCAGGACCAATAAATGAAATGTATTAACCGCCTAGAATAATGCTGCTTGTTAATTTTCGCTTTCAATATTTAAATTTAGTAACACTTCGGTTATTGCAAAGGCAAATGATATATGTAAAAAAATAAACTTGCCGCCAAAAGCTTCGTTCAAAGACACACAGATGCGATGACGCATCCGGGCACTATGCGATATGGCTTTAAAAATTAAATTATTAAAACGCGGGTAAGAATCGGAAATTCAAACTTTAAGTTGAATGAATTAGATTCGTTCTTATTGTTACTACGAAACTGAATAGAAGCAAATTTGATTTAAAATAATAAAAGAAAATAAATCACCAATTTAGTCGCTTTGAGCTGAAGTTTTATTAGCTACCACCTTATAGCAATATTAATTGGCCAAAGCGCTGCTATTGTGGGATATTTATAGAAGGAGGTACAGAGTAATATTTATACAAATTTTAATATGTATTGCAAGTCGTTATAGTTTTTTGTTTTTAGGGATAATAGTGACGAAATTCGTCGTCAAACATGGCCGAGGACTATTAATTACTGTATATTATATATATCGTATATTTATATATCACATATAGCTCCGAATTTAATTTTTTATAGCGACGTTCGTCCAAGCAATATATGATAGCCACACAGATGGATTTCTATTAATAATCTTAACTTGATAAAACCTTGAAATATATTCGGAGTCTTTAAGGCTGCCTTATCAGTATTAACGATATTAAACCATAGCGCACAAGAATAAATTGAGTTTCCAAATTGTTCTTATATAGGTTCGCCGATAATAAGCAAACATTTTCTTCCCAAATGATTGCAATAATATTTTAACATTTTTAGCTAAGGCTTAAGCTCTGTCCTAATAAAATACGTCAAGTTTGAAAGTTAGTTAAATTGAATCAACCATTTGCCTAGAAAATAATGAACCTGTGAAGCGCCAAATCTCAGATAAGGATCTTGGATAATTTGTAGTCAAAAATTGTGGAAAAGCTAATGGTAGGTAAAAAAATGTTACGCTGCGCTTTTAAATAATTCTAATAATTAGCCAGCACACATTTGAAATCGATATTTGATTTTACATAAACGATAATAAATTAAATATTTAGTTACTCCAAGTTTTCATGAAGTGTAGATGACCCTTAGTACGAACCGTTCCCGTTTCCCAAACGGGACCAAACTAAGAACGATTGGAAGCTTCTGTTTCAATTTCTCCGATAACCGAACTTTTACAATAACCGCATATATTGGCTTGTATTTTTATAATAATCAAGAACATGTACAAACGCCTAATAGGATCTTTAGTCCATAATACCGTTGCTTAAAGTTGACCATAACTAAGTAATAATTTTGAATTTATCTTGTCATATTCGGAAATGTTTCTAGGAGGCAAACGCGATCTTTTATCAAGTAAATTTCTTGATGCAAAATATCTACGATGTCTTCTTGTCTCTTAATATCGAAATCTTTAAGGAACATTGTTACTAATGTGTTTCAATGCACATTGCATTGTGCTTCACGACATCTTTCGCAGTTGTATATGTATGAAAGACCAAAGTTAGCTGTTAGATGTTTGAAAGCGTTTTGCAACTCTTTTAGGTGAGAGCCAGCATGCTGAATTCCAGTAAGTAACAAATAATCTGCAAGCACCATTTATACCCTCAATAATTCGAAAGATTCTCAAATCTCTCATCACACGTTCTAATCCGGTATCTTTCATAAAACCCCCTACAATGTGTTTGTATAGCATGCTAAGCAACTCAAAGGGCTCTAAACGATATCTGACTAGCTTGCCGAAATTGGGGGGTTCATGAAAGTGATTTTGCCGTATAGAATCTTTATAAATTTTTAAGATGTAAGTGGATGTGTAGTGAATGTGAGTGTGTTAAGTGATCACCTACTTCGCCAGCCAGAATCAAAACAATATAATTAGATTACAAACATTTTACTAAAGTGTTAATGTTATAAATGTCTTAACCTAAAAGTGTCAAATGTGTATTCTGATTCAAAATTATGATTACAATAAAAATAGGAATTACATTCTATATTAAAAATAAAAAACAACCACTCACCTAGGCACGCCGAATGTACATTCAAGATCCTAGAGAAAGAAAAAATCAACAACTTGTTTAACCTAATTTGAAACCGCTGTCACGTCCGCTCTTTGATTTTCTACACCAGTTGCAAATCACTGTCACCGTAATACGTGCCAGTGGCGACTATGCGATACTCATCTGATATAACCTCCCAAAATTTTCCACCGATTTGATTTCCGCATTGACCGGCTTGCATGTGCACAATTTCACACATTGTGTGTTTTTGGTTCTTTTGAAACAAGCGATCTTCAATTGGTTAAAACTATCTGCTTCTAGTTATTTTTAGCTCTTCTTTAAGTGCCGTAAGAAATGTTTATTTTTTCTTTATTTATTTTTTTTTTTTTTTTAACTTAAAAAAAGTCTTTACTTTACGGATGACATACTTCAACTGAATATTTTTTTTATATTGGGAATATCCTTTCTTCAAGGGTACAAATGACTCAGGAGTCCGGTCACGTCATTAATATAATTAGCGAACTGAATTATTTAATGCACTCGCGTTGAATTGTCAATTTTCTTCTTTTTTAGATTTCTTAAAAAAAAGTCTTTACTTTACGGATGACATATTTCAACGGAATATTTTTTTATTTTTGTATTGGGAATATCTTTTTTCAACTGAATATGTTTTTTTATTGGGAATATCCTTTTTTCAATTATTAAAATTTTTAAATTTTTTTTCATCAATTCAAAGTGCCTTTCAGTCTGTGATCATGTCTGCTAGAACCAACTTCCCTGACATTGAGTCCTTCTCACCTAAACCTTGGCGGAATCCTTCCCTGTCAACACTTTTCCACAAATACCAAGCTGCAAGAAAAAAAATTAGTAAATATGCCAATCCATCCAACTACATTGAATATATGAAAATACTGAAAGAATGGAGGTCTGCAGTTAGAAAGGCGAAAAGGGCACATAGAGCCATCGCTATTAAAGAGTTATGTGGTAACGACAACCCACGTTCCTTCTGGAATTATATCAATGGTCATCGACATTCTAGTCGAAAATTAAGCGGTTGTGCTGTATGGATTGACCGTGATAATAAAAAATACTTAGATATGCTCAAGAGCTACATTCCAATTGTTAATCCTATTACAATGCCTTCAATTCCTTTTAGTAGTATCAGCAACACACCCTTTTCATTGCATGAGCTAATGTATGTTTTACATTCCAGAAAGAGAGCTACTGCTGCAGGTTGTGATGGAGTCAAGTATGACATGCTCACAGCACTGTCTGGAGGAAGCTTTAGCATGCTTTTGCATGCAATTAACAACTGCTGGTCCACCAACTTTATACCCTCTGATTTGCGTTGCATCAAAATAGTTCCCATTCCCAAGCCAGGTAAAGACTTATATGATTTAAGTAGCTTCAGACCAATTTCACTAATATCTGTATTCATAAAGACCATCAACCTCATGGTTAAGGAGAGACTAATTGCTTTCCTGAAAACTAAGAACATTATTCCAGCTCGGTCTTACGCCTATCAAAAACGTAAATCTACGAATATGTGCGTTAATGAACTATGTTTTCTCATAGCCAGCTTAAAAAAAGCAGGGAAAAAGGTTGTCATGTTCTCCCTGGACATCAGCAAAGCCTATGACTGTGTCAACTTGGTTAAGCTCGGTAGAATTCTCCTAAACTTTTCGATTCCTCTTCAAATGCAGCTGTGGATACTTAATTTTTTATCCAAGCGTGTGTTGGTGATGGGTACCGAAAAAGTTGAAATATGCGGTGGTATCCCACAAGGCAGTTGTTTAAGCCCCATACTCTTCAATTTATACGCAGCTTCTTTGCATGATCTTCAAGATGACAAAACTCACATTTTTCAATATGCAGACGATTTTCTAATCGTATCTGCGGACTCATCTTTTCCAGCAGCAATAACCTCTCGATGAAAGCGAACTTGTTTTTCGATGCATGCGCTGATCTTAATTTATATTTTAACCCCAGCAAGACAAACACTATTTATTTTGCCAAAAGTTCTAAACGTGAAATCAGACTTCTTATCAAAGGTACCCAAGTTAATCAGCTAAAATCTCTTCGATTACTTGGGAGAATTTTAAATGACAGCTTAACCCTTCGTTGGCATTATGAAAAGGCGTTCAAAGATTGCCAGTCTGGATGCAACATCATCAAACTCATGACAAACAATCAGGCAGGCTTGCCTCCCAAAAATGCTTTGACCGTTTACAAATCTCTAGTCAGGTCCAAAATTGAATTTGGACATTCCACATGTTGCAATTTCCCAAAATATATTGAAAAACGTATACAAG